TTAAATTCACAGCACTTGCGTATTCTTCTGGTCTAAAGGACAAGTAAATCTGGATATCGTCAGCGTAAATATGAAATTTGCATGTTTTTATTATATTGATGATGTCAGCACAATATAATAGGAATAGAGTCGGCCCCAATATAGATCCTTGGGGAACCCCCTTTGTCACAGGTTTCATCTCCGAAGTCAAGATAGAACCATTAGCATCGCGACATTCAACCAGCTGCGCACGGTTGCTGAGGTAGCTGTCAAACCATTTAATTGTTGGTATGTCAAAACCGTAGTACGCCATTTTCGAAAGTAATAGAGACAAATTAATAGCATCAAATGCCCTCGAAAAGTCCAGAAGGACCAATATAGTGCACATACCCTCATCCTGCGCAGCCAGTATATTGTCGGTGACGTCCAACAAAGCTGTGGCCGTACTACGCCCCCTCCGGAAACCAGACTGCGCATCCGGCAGAACGCCGCTGTCCTCTATAAACTTGGTAACCTGCTCGTTTACGACCCTTTCCAAGACCTTAGACATTAAGGGTAAAATGCTAATAGGCCTTAACTCTTTAAGATCGCTAGGATTATTTACCTTGGGTAGAGGACGCACTTTTGCTAACTTCCAGGCGCCCGGAAAAGTCGCCGTTACTATGGAGGCATTTATAATACGCGTCAGGACATTCAAGGTTTGTGGTATTGTTAAAATAAACATATTCAGTGATATCTGATCACAACCTTCGGCATTAGATTTTAGGCTGGTTATCAACCTAAAAATTTTCATGTCATCAGTTGTATTAAGAGAGAGGACGCAATCAGAAAACCTATGAAATTCATAGTACGTGTAAAACGACAGGGAAGTAATAGTATCGCCGGGAACATTCAAAAAATGATTATTTATTTTGCTTGGATCATTAAGATGTGCGGGTAATTCAATATCACACTTTCGAGGCAGCAAGGTGGATTTTAAATTCTTCCAAAGCATTTTTGGATGTTTGATGTTGTTGTTAATATTTGATTTGAAGTAGGCTACTTTTTCAAGGTAGATTGATTTAGTAACTAGACTCTTTAGATCCATGTAATATTGTTTTTTGTGGGTTAATGTGTTATTAATTCGGAATTCCATAAGGGCTTTGTCGCGAAGTTTCATCATAAATTTTATGTTCTCTGTAATCCACGGATAGGATCTTTCCCTCACCCTAACACTCCTGCGAGGCGCAAATGTGTCAAACAAACACAATAAATTGTTTGTCAGACAGTACACCATATAGTCCACGTCATGAGAAGAAATCACCCCACGCCAGTCGATCGCGTCCAGAGCTTCTTTGAAAATTTCCAAGTTAATGTTTTTAATGTCCCTATAAGTTACAACTCGAGGCTGGATTTTTTCTCTTTTTATACGAAGAGTGGTCGTAATAAATGCATGAGCACCGAGAGCTTGTATTGGGTACACATTGACATCGGTAACTCTTGCGTCTGTACACACCAGGTCTATAAGGGTCGAGTTGTTGGTCGAGAAATGTGTAGGCGATGTTACTAATTGATTAAGGCTCAGACAATTTAAAAAAATATGTAATTTGTTTAATTTGCTGTCAGGTAGTGAGGTGTTTATGAAATTTATATTAAAATCGCCCAATAATACAGTATAGTCGCAGAATGTTAACGAATTTACAGACATGGTCAGTGCGTCCAGAAACGTGTCCACATCTAACCACGGCGGTCGATAGGCGGTCCCTATAGCAAGCCTAACACCGTTTATGGTACACACGAGCCACATCTGTTCGACCGACGTATGTGTAGGGTCAGTAGGGTAGGAATGCGCACGAACGCTAATTCCGCATTTTATATAGAATCCGACACCACCGCCACGGCCGCCGCGCACGCTCATCGGACGCGGCACATGCCGTAGCCGGTAGCCGGGAACCGACGGCGCGCGCGCCTCCTCCCCCGCCCTGAGCCATGTCTCATTTACCGCCATAATGTCAACATCATGACGATCCACTGCGGCTATAAACTCGTCATGATTTGTACCCAACGACCCGGCGTTAAGAAATCCAACTTTAAACTCTTTCGGGATCATTTAATAAAATAGATTAAAACTAAACAAAAACAATGATATTTCTTCCCTGCGAGAGTATCGAGATTAATTATAAAATAGATTGTTATTAAGATATAGCCATTACATAAAGTTTTACAAAAAATATATGAGTAAAGAAAGATAGAAACATTGTGTAACAAGATTACAAGCATATATGCATATATATATAAATACCCGATAATAAGTATTGTCGCATAAGACTGGATACAACAAAACTTACCGTCACTGCAAGGAATACCAACCTTAGCCCATACATACATCGCCGTGTTTACCAATTGGGAACATGACGTAGGAGAAAAATTAATACAAAATAATTGTAACATAACACATATCGCAAGGTCATCAACAAGATGCAGGGTACATAACAAAAAAACTAAAACAAAATGATATACACAAACCGAACAGAATTTTTTATTTCTACCCACATTCATCAAACATGGCCGTCGCCAAAAGTTTTCCTAATATCTGCGTGCGAGCGAATACGCACGGCAGATACACCGTCCTCTTTCCGCACGTAGATGCGACCCTCTCTTGTCCACACGTATTTGAAGTTTGAACGCTGTCCAGCCTCTCGAGCTAAATAAAATAGTTTCGCGTTAGATCGAGTCAGGTGCTCATTTACAAACACCCTCTGAGGCTGGCCGTGTAGCTTGAGGTCCGCAGTGGTGAGGCCGCGGCGCACGCGCGCCGCTTGAATCAGTTCGTCTCGCACCGTTCGGCGACACAGACGCACGGCGATGGCGCGCGGCCGCGGACGCTCCGCTACGTCGTGCTGGGATGAATCGGAGACAAAGTTACGACGCACCATGCCCAGGCGCTCGACGTTCACTATGTCCCTATCGTCGAGGTCAACCCCGAGCTTCAGTGACACAGTTTTAATTATATGAGCCGGGTTCTCGGCCTTCGACTCCGGTATACCCGACACGATGACGTCATTCAACAGGAGGTCCTGATCGCGCTCGTTTAGCTGAAGTTTTAAATGCGCGATCGTCTCCTCCAGGTGGTCGTACGATGATGGGTCCCTTGCTTCAAACCGTTGTTCGAGGTTATCCACCCTGTGCACCACCGCATCAAGCCGCTCATTGCACCCGCTTATAGCAGCCCTAAAATATGCATTCTCCTGCCGCAGCTCACGTATATCAGCCCTGAGAGCGCTTAATTCTTCCCTAAATGCTCTCATTTCCAGCGCCAAATCCAGACTCACGGGGGGGGAGACGGTGGGGGGTCTATTTGGCTCCGAGTAGTCCGCTGCTGCACCTTTGACCGGTGTTGCAGAGTTATCAGTCTTGGGAAGTTTCGCCTTGCATCCAGGACACAGCCAAGTCGGCGAAGGGGTTGCTGTAGGCGGTACACCCACACAGGCGCGGTGGTAGCAGCCCGCGCACTTGCTACACCGAATGCTTGCTGACGCAGCAATAAACTGACCACATCCGCCACACTTGGCCATGACTATGTTTATTGCAGATAGTGATAACACAAACGCACAACACTCGAAACAGAATATCAGGTTTTTTTTTTTTTGTTTTTTGTGGTAGGGTAGATTTGGTGGCCGTGACACTGGGGCTGGTTCAAAAGTTATAATTTAGAACGTTTATAATAATTATAATCCACTGATATTATCCATAATATATGTTACAAGTTGACTATTTATAAACTCTCTGCGAACACAAGATATTAAATAAACACTGTGGTTTTATTTTATTCGATCCGAGGCGACACAACAAGTCAGCTGTTACCGGCGTCCGTGACGTCACTGTTAACGGGTCAAGGTTAACGGAGGCCTTCCACTTCCACTACTTGAATTCTTCCCCGACTCCCAAATTATTATTATTATTATCTTATAGAGATTCTTTCTTAAATAGGTATTATTATGATGCGATTAGGATTCTATAAGATTTAATTTTAAGGATAGTTTTTATTTAAAAATTTTCCTTCTTACTTTTTTCCAGGGCTACGGGTTAAAGCGCCATAATACACCGCGGCCCAAGCCCTGAAGCAGGGTAAGGAACAGAGTGGTTTTAGTTAGTAAGAGTCTGACACTACCTTTTGTCTTATTCAGGGCGAGAGAATTCATTTGGTGGTTTCCTCCATCAAGGAAAAACCATCGTGACCTAATTTTATTATTTTATAAGTTATAGAAGAATAAATTTACGTAAATATAAAATCTAATAAAAAAATAAAATTCAAATAAATTCGATCGTTATCACTATAGATACTACAAGTTCACTGAAAGTGATCGTGTTAAGCCATTTTCAAACTTGCCAACTTCACCCAGAGAGGAGGATCGGTACAATCAGACTTGCGGTGTGTTACAAATGTGTCTCCCTCTACAGAGTGTTGTGAACAACTCGTGTCTTGCAAGTTATTGTGGGGTGTCCAACATTTATTAAACATTTGGTGCAACTTGCAAGTGGATTTCTTGTATTGTCTTTACTTAACGTTAGTCAGTACTCACTTGGTTTGTTCGTCTACTTGGCTTGGTGTATCGGTTTCATATTTTTTCTCAATTTCTTATTTCTTACAGTAGTAGATCCTCGTTTTGTCGTAAGTACATACAGCAGCAAATCGCACCATCGCTCACTCAAACACAGACATGTATATGAGCAATGCATGAGCGCATTACACACTACATACGCTAACTGAGGTTAAGGCCTAAGTAAGGCCTAGAGTAAAAGAAGGGATAGGGGATTTTTAGTAAGTAAGAGTCAAACACTCACTTTTCTCACCCTCACCCTCAACCCCTGGGCGAGAGAAGTCACTAGATGATTTTCCACATATACAAAAGTGTCGGTCTTCAGGCACCTATTTATTTCTACAATCCTTTTAATCATTGAAAAAATAAGAACCACAAGAAATGACCATCGTAATTGTTTTATACTTAAATACCTTAATTGTAAAACATTACATTAAAAATATTGTGCACGTAAAGCAACAAAATAAAAATTTTAAAATCCACTCCCAATCAGAATTTTCAGAGAAGAATGATAACACAATATAAATAGTAAGCAGTCTATTTATTTCATATCCACAGCCGTTAATCATGTCTCAAACAATCGAACCCTTCACCAACATACTCTAAATATCATATATTTTTGGTCATATTTCTTTTATTTTATTTACTTAGGCAAGAACTTTTCAATATCTACAATAGATTTCGTATTGTACTTTAAAAACTGTTTCCAAAATGGATTCCAATAAATAAACAATTTTATTAAACCTAATAAATTATCATCAGCCTCGAATTGTAATAACATTAAGTATTATTACTTCATTTAGATTAACTTGCCAGACTAATTTAAACCTTATTTCGTCGCCTTTACATCTCTAAAGTTGTTTGGACGTTTTCGTATTAATTGTTTACTCGCATTAATTATTGTTTCGTAAAAAGTATTCGTTTTAAATTGAAAATCAAACTTTTCGCAGTGTTCTAGAAGTACTGGGTACAAATATTTCAATTCTGCATGGTCTAGTGTCGGGAACAAGTGATGTAGGGCATGGTCCCCGAAACGAGTAATCGATTTAAAATGGTTGCCCGCATAATCGATTCTCTCGCAAATCGCATCCAGCTGATGAATTCCCCAATCGATATTTTCGTCTCTGAAAAAGAAAGATGGTCTTAAATAAATCAGTCTGTTGATGTTTGTAATAAATAAAAATGCTTGCCTCGGTTCAAAGTCAACCGCAAGGTTCAACTGCTTTTTTTATTTAATTCAGATAAATTCGTCTAGTTTTTCTATTCACTTATAAATTATTATTTTCAATTCGATGCCTTCAAGACATTGACATGAAAAGGATTTGGAAAATTTATTTTCGTGCAATATTGGAAGATTAAAGAGTTTTGTTTTTGTATAGTTCTGATGTTTATTTCACATCATTGGATAAATTGATTCACTTGATGTGCTCACTCACTCACAAACAATTTGTATAAATATACTTATAAGATGGATGAAATAATTTATTAGCAGTTAATGGTTATTTCAGAATCATTTATCAATAACTTATTCTATTGTGGTAGCCCGTAGCTTCTCATGCATTAGGGTTCGAAATCAAGCAAGTACCAATGCATTTTTTTTCCGAGTTACATCATATGGTAACATGAAGAAAGAAACAAAATTCGTGAGGAAACCTGGACTTATAATTTCTAATAATAATTATACCTAAGATTAAAATCGACCACCCTTGCTTGCTCGCCTTGCACAAATGTGGTGATTAAATTTTCTCTGTGTGAGAAGAGATGCCCTTGTTCCGCAGAGGGCACAAATAGGCTAATAGTAATACTGATAATAATGATAATTGTGTTATTTTACTTAAGTTATCAAGTGAAGTAAGAGGACATATAGATAGTGTAATTAATGAAGTATGAACTAGCACTTCGATCGGAAATTCACAGATTCCCTGAACCAGGTGTCGGGAACTGTGTTCATAGTAAAACTTTATTCTAATTATGTGAAAGGTGCAGTTTGTGAAAAGCCAGAAGTTTACACTGTTTCACCCGGGGGTTCTCATAATGAAACTTTTCGATGGACTCCGGGACTTGATTATACAAATTGGTGTAACGTTACTTAATTGATCATTTTGTTTAATGAAGTCTTTGAAAGTCCTTGGATTTTCATTGTTTTTTTTTTTGGCCATATTATGTTGCTTTTACGAGTAGTGTTTGTGTGTAGTGTAGTGGTTTCGTCTTATCAAAATTATAGGTACCATTGTAGTTTTTAAAAAGATATAGGTTCTTGAGAAAACAATTATATTGTTTTCTCAAGAAAATATATATCAACTAGTTTATGCCCGCGACTGCGTTCGCGTGGAATAGGTCAGTAGTTTAGGCGCGAAAAAAAAAAGACAGACATACAGACAGAGTTACTTTCGCATTTATAATATTAGTATAGATTAGTTTCTGTTCTAAGGGTAAATGGACTTGCCGAGTCAATAACACTTCTAGTCACCAAACTTTAAAAAAAATAAAAAAAAAGTAATTAACATGCAAAATTTAAGGTATAAATAGCTTCTAGGGTCAAAATCTTTTTGTTATTTATAAATACCAGTAGATTTTAAAGAAAAACAATCGTTATTATTTTCTTTGCTTTTTGCTGGTTTTAAACGCAAATTATGAAATACGTTCAGTGGATTCGTACTCACAAAATATACATGAACATTTTATATGTATTAGACTTTGGTTGGTGAAAAAACATGTTTGTAGCATTGACATGTTTATGTAGGTCTGTCACAATAGGTATAACAATTAAGTCAGTCGGCCGATTAATTTGCACATTTTTAATTAATGAAATGAGACATCACGTGTTTTATAGGAAAAGAACTTTACTGAACATTTTGTTATTCTCGTTATTGTATATATATATTTGTCGTATAATATGTAATGTAGTGAATACGTACTATCAGTGTCATAAGTGCATGGATGATTTTAAATCAAAATCGTTTGTACGGCGTTTCATCGCCTTAGTTATATACCATGGACGACATAGATGGCGCTAGTATACTAGTGATATTGAAAAATATACATTTATAGTTTTTATCAGATACAAAGTTATTAACTTAATAAATTTTTATACAAATTAATGCTACGATATTCCAAACCTTTTTAAAGCAAAGCACGCAATAACCAGGATTCGAACTCGGTAGCATAAAATTAACCGATGCCACTAGCCATTAGGCCATTACGTGACCTTGAGATGTATTGAAATTATCCTACTCTTTATTATATTGAAGTTGTTTAGCAACTATAACCCGATCATAAATCTTAAAACAGTTGAGGGTAATTTAAAATTAAATGTATAAAAGTTAAACCTTTTTGTTCAATCATAACATTCTTTACTATCTTTGAGTGAGTTCAGTCACGATTTGTTTAACAAGTTTTTAATATTTATTTTTATTATGAATTTGCGTTCAAATGTTAATTTGGCTACGAGGGCCCAAATAATAGCATTGCATAATCAAAGCTTAAATTATAATGGAATTTCTAGAGAAACTGGCTTAAACGTAAGTATTCTTATAAATGACCGTTTGTTATTTATTTTATTATCCATGAATATCGATACATGAAAATAATAAATAATACACGTCCCTTACAGGTAAAGACTGCCACTTTATGGATATCTAAAGCTGTTTCAAGAAGAGGGTTCATTGGAGCACCGTAGTGGATCTGGCAGAAGACGTGATATTGACTCAGACCAGTTTCAACTTATGGGGCAAGGTTATGAGGAAAATTACTGGAGCATTGTCATCTTCAGTGATGCAAACAGTGAAAACTACATAGATGTGCTGAAAGACGTCATGAAGATGTGCTAGTGATAACGTTCGTGCAGGACAATTGTCCTATGTGTAATGTTCCATAATTGTGCAAGTGTTTAGTCAGCAATCAGACATACGGATTATTCCTTGGCCAGCGAGATAGGAGAAATAGGATCGATAAAAATGGCGGCTACACTAGTTCTTAAAAGAAAAGACATTGTTGACCATAGGATTAAGCAATTACAAGACCGGGGTAGCTATAATTTATTTAATGAATAAATGTTCAAACTTAGTGTTAGTAGGATAAATTTATTGACTACTTTATAACCAGCGACTGTTATACTAAATATTATAGTTTTACTAAATATGAGAAATAAAAATAAAAGCAATATTAATATTTACAGATGCTATTGATTGCAAAATAATAAATTATTTATTTATTAATTACTATGAACAATTCGTCCCATATCTAGTGAATGCTATATCCCGGTCTTAGAAATGTTATTGATTTAAGGTCTAGCTTCAATTTCTTCCTTGTTCTGGAACGAATACTTAAGCTATGAGCCTTTGTCATAACATGATGCACAAAATGAATCACTTTAGTCAATACTTTAATTAAATTTTATGGGGAGGTAAAATAGTTGCAGAAGTAAGGTTGCATATTATAAAAAATCGTATTATAACATTGTGTTTAAAACTAACTAATAAATGACTAGCACAACACAATTTTGATTTAAAATACTTATTAATCTTATAAAAAGTGTTATAAATAATGTGTCAGTTAGCTGAAAAGTTATTAGGTCAGGGTATACACTATATAAGAAAGAAATAAATATTATGTTTTAAGAAATAAATGTCTGAAATTATAATGTCACTAAAATAGTTTTATTTGTTATCCTTTATGAGAAAAAACATTTTGCAATTAATTTACTTACACTTTTCTTAAACCAAATTATATGTATAACTTTTCATACGTATTTTGAACTTGTTCTTATATTTGTTTTAGATCGGTGAAAAGATAAGTTTTACAAACTCCCTTTTTTAATTAAAATAGTAGTTACGTCGAAAATTATATGTCGGAACGTCAAAAACACGTCATCCTAATGCAAATAAGGTTGGAAAACAATAGTAAAATTAACATTTTACATTATAATAACTGTACATACATAGGTATACGAGTAGGTAATATGTAGGTAGGTAAGTTTTCGTAATACGATTGTTTTTTTTTTGTAGATAGGTACCTAATTATGTAATCTTGACGTTTGTGTTCAATGAGTTTACAATTTTATTTTCGAAAAACTTACTTCTAAACTTTTCTTGTTGATAGTACCTACTTGGAAAGTTTACTGTTAAGTTGTAAAAACCACGCTTAACCAAAAAGTAGGCCTGAGGTCTGTGTTTTAAAGCACTGGTTTTTATCTAAATATATAAAAGAAAGTCGTGTTAGTTACACCACTTATAACTCAAGAACGGCTCAACCGATTTAGCTGAAAATTGGCAGGGAGATAGTTTAGAGCCAGGAGAAGGATAGGATAGAGTAGGTAGGGTATGTTAGGTAGAGTGGGGTAGGTAGAGTAGGGTAGGTAGAGTAGGGTAGGAAGAGTAGGGTAGGTAGAGTACGGTAGGTTGAGTAGTGTAGGTAGAGTAGGGTAGGTAGAGTAGGGTAGGTAGAGTAGGGTAGGTAGAGTAGTGTAGTTAGAGTAGGGTATGTAGAGTAGGGTAGGTAGAGTAGGGTAGGTAGAGTAGGGTAGGAAGAGTAGGGTAGGTAGAGTAGGGTAGGTAGAATAGGGTAGGTGGAGTAGGGTAGGTAAAGTAGGGTAGGTAGACTAGGGTAGGTAAAGTAGGGTAGGTAGAGTAGGGTAGGTATAGTGGGGTAGGTTAAGTAGGGTAGGTAGGGTAAGTAGAGTAGGGTAGGTAGGGTAGGTAGAGTAGGGTAGGTAGTCAAATGACGGAAGCGACGCCGGGGGTAAGAGCTAGTACTCCCATACAAAACATAATGTAATATATTATACACAATTTTCTATTTTATATCTCGACGGGCGACTGGCTTGAGAAGTCAGTCGTCCGCAGCAGCGGAAGTTAGTTTAGATAAGTAGCTTCTGAGGGCTATGATCTTGGCGGGGTCTACCGCGACTATGACAATAGGTCGAGGACGACTTTCAAAAACCCACCGGGAGAACAGGAACCAGGGTCACGGTATAATCAAAGGAGGAACGGTGCAGTTGTTTTACCCGATAAGGGTCCGATACCCTCTCTCACCGCTCCTTCGTCGAAAGAAGTCAATGAGGATTTTCATCGCATTACTCGTATGATAAAAAGGATGTGAATTTTAATAATAGTAATTTCCTTTGTTCGCAGAGTTAGATTGTTATCTCGAAATTAAAATCAACGTAGTTATTTTAAATATAATAAAAGTGATGAGATTTAAAATTAACAAACGAAAATCTGTAGTTTTATAGAAATAATTATTTAATATATTATTTTAACTTTACTTGTCAGTTGAAATATAATTAAAGCCTATTTTCTAGGTCGGAAAATGTTACGGATATCATAAAAATTTTGGCCTGGCACAGGAATAATATTCAATAGTTTCGTAAAGGCAGTAGAATCAAATCGAATACGACCTTCAAGGAAACCCCCCTTCTTAAAAGACTGGAAAAACACTTGTGACTTTTTGTTGTTGCAGTTGTCCATGCTCGACGCTAATTGCTTACCTTCAGTTGATCCGTAAGTCCGTTTGGCTAATATTTCCATAATACAGAAGAAAACAACCAAATAGACTCACCTTCTATTACCTACATAAGACTAATTACATAGGTACATAACTAGTGAAAATAAGATATCTACTACTAAAAAGTCGTAACACAAAAAGAATGCTCTAGCTAAAAAAAAAATTATTTACCTCGGAACATCCCCTTCAAAAAAGTTCCTATGGTTGTGATGTCCAGCTGTCAAACCGTAGAAAACGAAGAAGAAACTGGCTGGTACCAATGTGACCAGCCAGAGAAGAATAGTTGAGTGTAGGGGCAATCCACCCATTAGGTACATCCACGCTGGAATCGAGAATGGAATCAAATTCCTCCAACTTAGAGTCTTGCCTTCATGGTTCGTTGCGCTGAGTATCAACCTGGAATTTAGAGATTGGATTTTAAGTAACGCTACTGAAGGTTAGTTTTTGTTTGGTTTATGTATTAAGGTTATTATTATACTGCGATTGTTGTGTTATTAATATTATTAAAATATAATATTACATAAGTAAAGTATACGAAGGCCAGTAAAGTGTGATTGGAGTTTTGATTTAAAAAATCATAAAGTAATTTTCGATTTTTAGTTAGACCCTGTCGTATAGAAAATGATTAACAAATAAATCTTATGATGGGGCTTAACTGCAGATGTATGGCTGCCTAACGTTTCAAAAATTACTAATAGACGTGCTTCGATATGTAGTTGTAATGTGTTTTTTCGCTCAAACAACTTTAAATAATTTGGTCTTTTGTAGTCCTACAGAGCCAATACTCAAAGAATATGCTTACAAAAAAATAATACTTATGTTCAATTCGAAATTCGAATTACGTACTTCTACAAAATAAAATATTTGTAATCCAAATTATAACATTAAATTACAATGAAGTATTTTGTTAAAACCAAGTGACTACAATAATGAAAATGTCAAAGGTTATAAAACCAAGTATCACGATTCACGTGTACCGAAAACATGCGTGCAAAACTGAAGCGTGTAGTTACAGCGAAATTATACAGGAATCGTAGGTACATATAAATAATATTATTATATTCCTGTACACAAACATTGCGTGTTCGAATATGAATTTGTACATTGATCATGCCATAAATATAGATAATTATTTTTACTTTTATTTTAAATATAAATTAAAAATGTTATTTATAAATTCTTAAATAAGACAAATACATAATAAGTGTACAATGATATAAAATTACAATAATAAACTTAAGAAATAAACTTAAATATGATATTTTTTTAAATAATTTCTTATGCAGATACTTATATTTTAAATGTATTTTCAGAGTTATTGTAATAAATATGTGGACAATACATAATAATAAAGGGGTAATTGCGCGCTGATGTGCCATCACATTTAGATAAAAAATTGTTCAACGGGTCTCTACGAGTTGGCTACGGTCTTTCGAACGACTTCCAAAGGTTCGGGACCTTTTAGTCCAGTGGATGGATGCAAACATAAATATTTTTGTTTTTATGTAATGGATCGGCAAGCAAGCAGACGGATTACCTGATGGTAAGCAATCAGCCCCGCCCATGGACACCCGCAACGGAGGAGTTACGAGTGCGTTACCGACCTCTTAGGGATTAGGGTTTTGGAGATTAAGGGATTGGGGAGGGATCGGGGGAGGGGAAGGATTGGGCCTCCAGTAACCTCACCCACACGGCGAAACACAATGCTGTGGTTGTTTCACGCCGGTTTTCTGTGAGGCCGCGGTATCACTCCGGTCGAGTCGACCCATTAGTGCCGAAGTATGGCTCTCCCACACTTATACTAATGTAAACAATTTCATTTTCTTTATATATTTTCCATCGTTTACATATCCATCGTTTTTTCGGTCTACCCGGCTACTAAAATACAAAATTCTAAGTAACCTTCATAATTTGACCTCGTCTAGAAGGGGTTAAATTTGGTGTAAACTCTACCACTATTAGAGCGTCAAAATTAACGAAACTGGGAAAATTCAACAAAGTCTATAAATAGCAAAACTACGCCCAAATTATCTAGTTAGCACATTATTTGATTGTATTGTACAGGTAGTTTAATTGGGTCCAATAATATTTGGGAACAAGGTAAGTTTTTGGCTTTAATTAAATCGGGTTCGGGCACAATTATTGTCCCTTAAAATTAGGTACATATTCGGGTTATGAACTGTAAGTATATAGATTCTCAATTGATCGTTGTCATTTGAACAAACTTTTTAAAATGCTATAGTTAGTTGTTAACCGACTTCAAAAAAGGAGGTGGTTTTCAATTCCTCGGGATCTTTTTTTTTATGTATGTTCATTATTGATACAGTGAATATAAAAAAAAAATATTTCAAACATTTATGTTTCGTACTGGCACGAAAAATAGAATAAATAAAATCTTTATAAAAACAGTAGCTAGGCTACTGTTTCTTACGATCGTAGCTGTTTTTCACGTCACACATCACACAAGGACGTTGATACATCAAATTCAAAATAAGAACGAGCATTGTAATGTAGAATAAAATATTATTTAGTTTTTCGAATAAAAAAGAAGAACTAGACTTAGGTAACCTTTTGTTTGTCACTTTCTGTAAGGTTACTCATAAATGAGGTCATATATCTGTTAAGTCTATATATTGATGGCCCAAGGCCTAAATAAAAATATTTGAGACCTTTGCATAGTAAACTATTATACTGGTTACTTATGTGATAGTACAAGATATGCCAACTTTCTTAATCAATTAATTATTGAAGGAACTTTAGTTTTGCAATGAAGTTCGATTACTAAGTACTCAATAATTTTAATCTTTTCGAGTGCTTTCACATTACGTCCGATTTAACGTAAATCTCCGAGGGTCACAAATCCCTATCCTTACCCTACACTCATCCCTCCTCAATCCCTAAACCCCAAAAACCCTTATCCCCAACGGCAACGCACTTGCATCTCCTCTGGTGCTGCAGTTGTCCATGGGTGGCGGCAATTGCCTAATAACAGGTAATCCGTTTGCTCGCAGAAAAATGAAAACTTGGACAGAGTTTCGCAAGTCCTTGAAGGTAATCTGATGATAGATATAGGGCGTAAAGTACCATAGAAATATTTAGTTCTACGACTATGATGGACCGTTTTTTTACGGATTCGTATCGGCTTTAAATATTGCGTAGTGCGAAAGCGCTCTTAGGTTTGATGATGTCCTGGTATTTCCACTAGTGAGAGAGTTAAACAGTTTTTTGCTGTAGTTGCGTATCCCAAGGTTTTCGGTCTAGCAAAAAAGATTGCGTAGATTTTTTGCCACTAATTTTAAGTAACGAACGACATTGATATCAAGGACTAATTTTAGTATGACGTTGTTATTTTTAAGTTAATAGGTTTAGGTACGAACTGCGAAATATATTCATAACGTGCAGCTCTGTGTTTGATAAGATTAATATGAGCCAGTAAATGCCAGTAATACACAACAAAGTGAGTTTTCACTGTGTGTATTATTATTATTTTCAACAAAATTTATAACCTTAATTAGGAATGCCTAATCTACTTTTCACCCGTTTTGTAATGTTTTAGTTTTTTGATACCAGTACCGAAAGCATTCACGCAATAAACAGTTTACAACAGTAATCTACGAGTGAAGCCATTTAAAGATAATTGTGAAAATATTCATCTATTTGCTTACACACACCATGTCTGTTACTCAATACCTGAAGAAACCATTTAAGACAAAATGTTCTGTCTAAATCAGCTAAAAAAAAAACTCAAAAATTAGTTCTAAAAAATACTTACTCATGACCCATAATTGAAAGTAAGGATGTAGCGTAAACGAGGGGATAGTAGAATGCACCCATCTGTGCCCATATAGGCTTGTCCTTATAAGGTATGAACTGGAGAAACGGTTCTATCATGGACAGTTCAATGTCCTGAGCAGTATTCGTATGCAGATGATGAGACATTGAATGGGAGACCCTCCAGTCACTGAAAAATAAAATATGTAATTTAATATTATGTGACATACAAAGGTTTTTTTGTCAGTGGAAAATCATCAAATGACTTCTCGCCTAGGGAATGGTTAGAGACAATGTCAGAATCTTACTGACAAAAAAATTCCTTGTTCCGGTTTAGGCCGAGGCTTCGGTGCCATATTGCGCTTACCCCGTAACCCCGACTGAACATCAGCCCCATAGGGGCCCGTCTGTGGTGGTCTATTGGATCTTTGAGGCGCGCGGGGACCGCTACGCGCCGTACGCTCGAGAAACATGTATACGTTAAGGTACATTTTTGCTTGTTATGTATAAAGTCGTATTTAGATTTTATAGTTATAAAGAAGAGTATTTTTTAAGACTGAGAATTCTTTTTCTTTCTTTTTTTAAATAATATGATGAATGAGAATTTGAAAATAAGTGACGTGAGCAGATACATTGAACCATATTTTTGCTTGCTACAGGTATGTAACGAAATGGTGTTTAGATTATTTTGTCCTCAAAGATTTTTTTAAACAAGTTCTCAAGGTTACTTACTAATAAAATTTTGGAGAAACATTAATCTTATTTTAAAGTAAATAAAAGAAGTATCTACATTAAAAATACACAAGGAAGTCAGTAGCAAAAATTTAACAAAATACAAGACAGTAATTCTAAAAAGATAAATTCTATTTAACTACGACGACTATACGAAGAAATTGGATCCCCTAGACACCTAACAGAATTTATTTATCTTGGTTTACCTTAAGGAAACTGAGTTAAGTCGTTCAATCCTACCTTAGAACAGTATAAAGTAAATAATTTATACTGCTAATTGATCAATTAAAACCAGTTACAACTCAAGCAAGTCGCGGGTAATAAGTGCTTTAACTACACTTTGAAAACTTGTACCAAGATTTCTGTCTGCGAAATGGATTGAGAATACTTATTGTTTTATCTAGACAGTACAATTTTGGATAAAGGAGTATTTATTATATTGTTATAATCATAAATATTAAGATATCTCTGTGTAATAAATAACAATAATTGTGAGGTAGAGTAAAGTTAGAAAAACTAACAACTGAGTCAAATAAACTATTCGAGAGTAACTCTACTTGTTTCAAGCCACACCGGGGCTCTTACTCAAAGCAATGAGCCACGTGACGGCCTCTTCAAGATTAAAAAGCGTTAGGTGTGTGATGTAAAGTTTAAATATGATGTTCTTAGAATAGGAACACATATGTACAACTACACAAAAACCAAAATTAAACAAAGGTCTCACGAGAAAGTGTTTTGTCTGTTTGTCCTGCTTTCACATTTCTCGCCGTTAAAAAAATTGGCACATGTCGTTTTGCTAACCTCGAAAATGGACGAACAAATCCGATTCTTATAAAATGCGATAAAACTATGTATAACATTCTAGTTTATGTAAAAAGTTTATAGTAAGCTGAAGTGGAATTATCTTGCGAAGTTTTCATCGGATAACAACTCAACGATGTTAGTTTACAACGAGAAATTCACATGGAGTGGTCAAACTTTATGTTTCACTGCACTAGCATAATAAGGATGTTAGTATATAACTTTTGGAATTTGTTCGTGAACACAACGAAATTTAGCAAAAAGATATTCGAAATACTCTGGTTAGCCGGTATCTTATCTTCCATAGTTAGGTTTGAAATGAATATTCTACATAACTATCTAATAGCGTACACCGAGGTATCTCTTAAGTGCGCACATCTCTTAAGCGCTCCCAAATTTTTCTGCAGTTCAGAAATTCAACCGGGGTTGTGGGTGCAAGCACATCACACCATTCTGGGCGAGACCCAAGCGTAAGGCGCGTAGCGTTCAATGATCCAATAGACCAACACAGATGGGGTCCTATACGGCTTATGTTCAGCTGGGATTGCGGGGCAAACTCAATGGGACACCGTGCCCTCGGCCTAGAGCAGGAATAGTGGGGTTTTAGTCAGTAAGAGTCTGACACTCCCTCCCGCGCCAAGTCATTTGATGATTTTCCCCTCACAGTTTTACCACCATTCATTTTAATAAAACTTATACCTACATATTGTGAGTTTTTTGTTTATTATTCGGTGATAGGTATTAACAAAGCAATAAGTTGCTACTCAGTTATTATAATTGAGGTCAATAGCTCAAGTCCAAGGTGTTTTTATTTCGTTTTATTTTATGTTTTCCTGCTAACGTTTGTACTTTTAATTATTCTTTGCAATGTTAACTATCACGCTTGGTTAAAGTAAAGGAAGGGATAGAGGCAATTATGTACTAGCAACTTCCTTTTTACAGAGAGTACATATAATGAATGTGTCTTATAATAACTAGAACATTTCAAAAAAACCTTTAATATTAGTAATGCAGTCAAACACGGAATCAAAGACTTGATAGTCACGGTAGCTCCTAGATCGTGCCGTAGATAATGACATGTAATTTTTAGACGACCTTGCAATGTACAATTAATCTAAAACTACTTACAGTAGAAGTACTTAAAATGGTTTACGGAAAATTACGACTAACCCTCGTGAATTAACAGAGAAAAGCTCTACTAGTTTCAAGTCACAACGGGACTCTTATTCATGAACAGCGTACGCGTCGCGAAGCCAACTGGTTCATTTCACGTGTGAGTAGTTATTCTCAATAAATTTAGTATAATATCTCAAGATAGTTACGATTCAAAGTAAAACAAGCCTGTTGCAGTATGGTATTTACCGTTTTTAAATGAAATAATAATAAGAAATAAACCACAAACTTACTTAAACGACATTCCAGCCAAGTTGAATATGTACATTCTCCAATTATCCCCTCGATGGAAGTAGTTGTGTGCACAAGTGACTAAGGAACTTAGAACGAAACCAGTTGAGAATGTTAAACTGGCTCCAATGACAAAGCTTTGAGTCCAGCCCCAACAACTTAAAGGAGCCAAGATAATTAAAGCAAGTAATAAACTATCAGTGATAAAATCACTTTTCTTCCTCACATCTTTTGGTATTAATGCCATCTGATCCATGACTTTCAGTTTCAAAGTTTTATAAAATCCATCTTCTTTAAACGTGAAAGGTTGATTCCTTGGCTTGATTGCTTTTCTTACATAATAATTCGGTAATAACGACTCAGCAATTCCTTTGAGGTGATGTGTTTCGAAAGCTTCTGTTATGTCTGTACCCTGGGGAACGCCAATGAAATTTAGTTAGTCAGTTATTTTTTTTTACTTTAATATTAATCTTATAAGCAAATTGTTCATTTTATTTGTCATTATTTTCGCAATTGTAACATTTCAATTCTATTTAGAAATAGTCAATCTTTAAAGTATTATGACTAGTTCCAGATATAAATTCACGAAATGTTTTCGTTGACTTTGATAAGCCCTTGGCCTAGAGATCACAACAACAAGAAAAACTAGTAAATTTATCTTCATTTATAAATTATATCATACCGTTGTTGGTATCACTTTGTACTTAATTTATTATTTGTGTTGAATTACAAATGGCATAGCAGTTTAACACAAATGGAATTGACATTTAATTAGCATGATAAACAGTTAGTAAATAATTGAAGGAGCAAGGTGAGGCGTGTTGTCAAACGCGACTTGTGCTATTAGGTTTATTGTCTGTCATTACTAAGTTCATGGGCAGGTTTCACTTCGACTTGACAGGTTCATTATTAAATTAACAGCAATACCGAATGAGATATTCGATGTAGTGCTAGGAACATGACTAAGTAAGTGGAGATGAATTTATAATGTTCCCACTTTTGGCTGTTATTAGTTCCGTGACAGTTATAAAAATCTTTAGTGCTAAAAAGGTATTTTTTTTAATTTTATATCGCAACAATACTGAGAAATTATTCATAGATTACTTTATAAACAAGTTTTTTGTGATTTATCACTAATTGACTATATCAATACTTTGAGACTCATCAATACTAAATAATAGAAAAATAACAAGCGAGAGATTTATGATTATTATTAATCTCGCGTTAAAACGTTAAACATAAATTCCAAAAAAAAAACAAAATAAAAACAAACGACAAAGCCGACGTAAATTAATTGTGCGTATATCTCAAATTGAAATCCTAGCATAAATCTCGTTAATAGCAAATTCGAAGAAGAATAAACTAGAAATATCATTTGAAACTGTACTCAGTATGTAGTAGGGCAGTATTATTTATTGTACACTGGCTCACAATGACAGTATCAGGTCTCACAGTGATAGAAATGGAGCTTGTCTCCATTTATCGCGATCGGATCCCGGCCCAGGCTATAGTGGTCATTTTTTATCGTCCAACGAAAGAGGAAAATCATTTACGGTTTTGTGCTGTTCGAAAAGAAAAGAAAGAAAACATTGGTGTATTTGTTCGTACGTCAAAAGATTAATTGAAGACCTTTGGTACCATTCGCTGTGTGTTTAGGACAAGTGATAATGGGTGTTTTTACATTACCTCAAACTTTTAAAAGATTTTTTGACTCATCAGTTATCAAGTTTAATTCGGTGACGAATATACTTTTTCTTGTAGGTATTTATCATAATTTATTTTCAATAAAACTAGGTTCCTTACCTTTGTAACAGATATCCAATGTGTCCCTCCAGGATGTGAAGAAATAAAATCAGTTAAATCATAGAGACTGTCATGTATTCTCCACAAATCTTCGGCGCCATCTTGCAATCTCTTCCCTTTTAACCAATGTTGCGCAGATTTTGGCTGTGCTTCCCGAAAAATGGGATATTCCAACTTAGGGAAGCTTACCTGTCGTTTTTCTGTATTCGGCGCCATTTTATACCTATCAAAAATAGAAAAATAATATTAAATTCACGTTTTTAATTATCAGGCAATTTTAATTCTTAAGTGATGGAGATACAGTTGCAAATGGGTTTATAATTAAGATGTCCTGACGTAATATTGGGGTAGACGCGGTCCGACAAGGGAACACGGGTTTGTTATTGTATCCATAGCTAAAGGATGTGTATTTATTAATAAACAGTTTCGAGATAATTTTGATTGATATCAATTAAAGCTATATTTCGAAATGCTTCCTCAAGTTTAAATGTTTTACCATTGTACTCAGAGACATTTAATTGTTACTTCTATCTTAGTCACTAGACTAACTAAAACGTGACCAAAGATTAGGTCAAGTAATCATAATGAACTTTTTAGATCTATATGTCGATTGTTATAGACTACGTATGAGTGCCAAGTGTAATTAAAATTGGTTCCGTAGCTTCCATGATTTTTTAATTTTAAGCTATTATGAACCACCGCCCCTACCTTATAATAAAATAACGAACCGCCTCGGATCCATTCGGGTGCAAAGATGATACTAAATTTCTCCACTATTTAATGAATGTATACATATTCCAATATACTTCGAATATATTCCCCGTCCTCGTCGACCATTCTTCCTATTAAAAAAACGCATCAAAATGCGTGACTTACTTTTAAAGATTAAGCATACATAGGGATAATAGAGACAGAGAAATCAATTATGTTCTATACTATGTAGTGATTCTGACGGTAAAAAAGTGGATAATTCCAACAAGACCGTAACGTACGCCGCTGGTATTATTAAGACAATATATTTTAATGATACAGCAAAATAAGTAAGAGACGACAACACTTACTTAGCTTATTCGATTATTCGATGTAACGCTATGCCATAGATAGACTATCTGATCCCCAAAACCCTTTAGGTATATTAATTCAATAACTTGTGAAACTGAAAGGGTGAATTTGTCTATATACATACATATATATTTATTTATATATGCTATTTTTGTTTAGATTAACCCCCTGTTCCCATAACACATAAGTATCATGTTTACGTATATACCGGTAAACTTACGTGTCAAAAAATTCATACAAATTTCGTTATATATTCAAATGTATCTAGTTCATAGTGGCTATTAGAAATAGGCCCATAATGGCTCGAAGCTCAAAACAATTTTTTATTCATGTATTGGGTTTTTCGATAAAATGCCGTGACGTCAACAGTCTCTATGGAAGATTTTATTCACAGAATGATTTTATCGATATGATACTTAAACTCGTGGATTGAAAAACAAAGTATAATCTTAACCATATTCAATATTATGGGAATCCTCAGTAAGGAGTTGAATAACATCAATATAACCACATCTCTTTCTTTGCTGCTGAGTCAGTCATTTATTGGTATTTTCCAAATATTTTTGCTTATTTCTTCGTATGAATTGTTTTGACCGTGGTCATAAAAAAAAGAAAAGGACAAGTGAAGGCTTGATTTGTGAAGGGTAAATATTTAAAAACCTGAACAAATATACAACCAATGTTATTTAAATAAAAGCTTGTAAGATTAAGTACTTATTTATTATGCTTTTTGGTTATTGTATGTTAATAGGATGACACGTACAGACCATTGCAAATAATTTTAATTTCGTTACAAAAGGTAACTCGAAATGCGTTAAGCAATTTGAAAAAAATATTACTGTATTGGGGTTCTCCTACATAGAAATTTCAATAATTTAAACTGTTCGACTAAAACGGTTCGAGATTATATTTTAAACCTTATCCGATTAACAGCTAGGTCTATTTTTCATCGTTCGTGGTGGTACACAAGTTTTTTGTGAGGAAAATCACCAAATGACTCCTCTCGCCCGAAGTAAGGCGAGAGGGAGTGTCAGACTCTTACTGTTACGTTCCTTCTCCTGATCCAGGCCGAGGCCGCGGTACTTTATTGGGCTTTACCCACAACCCTGGCTGACCTCCAGCCTTATTGGACCCAAACTGTTATGGTCTATTGGCTCATTGAGGCAAGTGCGGAACACAAGCTAAGTTAGGCCTCTTTGTCACCAGAGATTGGATTGGATATTAACAGAAACTTTATGTCTCAAAGCAATTTAATTTTTTCATCCAATTTTACAAAATACGACACATTCACAACAATGATTGCCTTAAACTGCAACTTACAACTATGTTTAGGTATGATGTTTTATAAGTAAATAAAGTAATTTTTATTCCTATCGTGGCTTTCTATAATCCTGTGTTCTCTTTGAGGTGTGCAGAAGCAAACTAGTATCCACGTAACAGGATTGGTTACTCGGCACGTTGGTTACTTGCCATGGAACGGTGCCCGGACGGACCTTTGCACAAATTTAATTTAGCTGTAATGCCAAAATTGGTGCCTTTGGATCCCGATCTTGTGGCTTGCATGTAAATATCGTCTTTGTATGGTTCGCATGAACGGCAGATTGAAGATAACACCAATGTTATGCTTGGTATTCCTCGAAAGGGTGCGAGGAACATTCTGTTTTCGTTAATTAGATACATTTTTGTTTTAATAAGTAGACCGAGCTTTTGCTAATCAGGCTGGATTAGGACAACTGATAAAACATAAGCCTCCTTTTATCATTGGATTCTCTCTTTAAGTTTGTTGGCCAGTTAAAATACAATTAAATCACTTAAAGTACGCAATTAATCCTTCTGAAATCTCAAAGATAATGCAACTAAATCTAATTTGAAATGTTTCTATACTTAATGAGGGATATAAAGTCATCATGCTGAAGGTAATGTTAATGATCAATGTATGCAATTTTGCAAATAGTGTACCAAATAATGATTGTTTTAATATCAAATTTAATGAAAGATCCGTAAAAAATCCGTAGTATGAATTGTTCTAAATTTAGATGTCCTAAGTAATTTAAAAAGGATTTATGTAGACATGGAGTACTAGGCCCTGCTGGCCTTCAAGACTGGAAATGCCAATGAACTTAGAGAAGTGCACAAATATAAAAGTAGACAGTCATATCTGATCTCGAAAAAATAAAAACAAAAATAATAACAAGAAAGAATAAACACTTTAATTGCGAGGTAATAAGGTTGGAAGTCCAGTAAACTTAATTGCAGATGTTATTAGCAAATTAAAATGTACATAGGTATTATACGGGTAGGTACTTGTTTACCTTAAAGGTTAAGGAGGTCAGCTCACGACAATTATTTACTATTGAAACGTGCAAAAGAAATATGTTGTGTAATCTTTTAGAATAAAATAATGTGAGTCGTTTTGTATATCTATACTAATATCATAAAGAGGTACAATTTGTAAGTTGGTATGCAGGGGGTAATCTTTGGAACCGCGCCGGTCGGATTGCCAAAATTCTTTCACTAATAGAAAGCTACAATGTTCCTGAGTGCTATAAAACATCACGCTACGATCAAATGGAGCCGAGCAGCGGGTGCAGCCGCGTGAGAGTAGCTAGTTTTTAATATACTTAGTGTCTAACGATAGTAGATATACAGTGTGTTAGGTTAAACGAAAGACATATTCAAGGCCCGATTCTGGTGTTTAAATAAAACAACCTTTTTATAAGACAAATAGATGTGTAATCTTTTAAAATAAATCATTATTTGCACATAAGATATTTTGATATTTTTTTTATTATTTATAGTATTAAAATACCTACCTAACTACAGTAAGACATACAGAATTGCGTTAAGTCGGCTGAAATATTCTCATTACGTACGCTTTGACTTGAAACTAGTATCTAAAGCTTTTGTCATTGAAATCAAGGGAGTAAATCGTTATTTTTTATATACTTAGTTAAAATTAAATAATGTTTTCCATAATATGGAAATAACAAAAAATATTTCTCCATGCAAAATGACCAATCAGCTGTTGCGATTTTTATGTGTCAATAAATTTACTTTTGAGATTTGGATATTGGTCCCATGGGAAAAGTTGTTGTAATTAAGCACAAAAATATGCTCCTTTAATATGTCCCTCTTTAACCTAACACGCTGTAGATAGTACTGAAAAGGAGATTATATAAATTTTATATACTTACCTACTATAATTACTTCTTAAAATAACGTTATCATAAGCAACTATGTCCAAATACGTACATCACAATTTTGCAGTAATTAGTGTGGATCACACACAATTTGAAAGGCTCGCCAAATCAATAATCAACTAACACTTATGCGTTGTTATTGTTATCAAACCAAACGACTTTATACTCTATTCCATTTACGAATAAAGGCTACCCTAGGTGATAATTTAGTATTCAGTTGTTAATACTATTCAAATAGGTACCTATTTTATTGCAAACGACAAACAAAAAGTAAACAGCGGCTTGCAAAAAATCACTCACGCTGTTGTAAATATTTTGTTCTTTGTACTTACTTTATTGTTTAAATAACTAAACTTTTATTTTATTGACATTCGCTTAAATTCTAGACATTTAGGGCTGATTTTTCCGTAGTCAGATAAATATTATCCGTGGAATAAAATTGTTGCTGCCACCGTCTTAGACAAACATTTTGACGCGACAGCATCGTAATTATTCCTTAGGTAACTTTTATCTAAAACTATTGAAAAATCAGCACTTAAAATACCAAAATTTAGTATATAGCCAAGCTAATAGCAACTCAATTGACAATTGTCAAGATATTTTACAGCTGATAAGCTAATTGTTTGACGAATAATAATAATAATATTTGAGGACTAATGATTACATAATCTTCAATTTGGCTAATTCTAAGTTTATTAACTAGAAGTGACGATTATAGAATATAATGAAAAAAAAATATTCAATGAGTGTTTTTTTTTTTTTTTTTTTTTTTGTGAGGGGAAAATCATCAAATGACTTCTCCCGCCCAGGGCCGGGCAGGAGGGAGTGTCAGACTCTTACTGACTAAAAACCCCCCTGTTCCTTCTCCTGCTCTGTGCCGAGGTCGCGGTACCTTATTGCGCTTACCCCGCAACCCCGGCTGAACATTAGCCCTTTAGGGCCCCGTCTGTGGTGGTCTATTGGCTCTTTGAGGCGCGCGCGGCACGCTACGCGCCGTACGCTCGGGCCTGGTTCTGGTCGGGCGGCGAGCTGCCCTTAGTCGCCGACCGCAGGCCCGTACTTACGGTGGCCGGAGATCGTCCCTCGATCCCCGACGCCCGTAGTGTCGCCAGTTGCGGCTGCTGGGGCGTGAGGAGGAGGATTGCTCCCTCACGCGGGCCGCCTCTCTCTTTGCGAGCATGACTGCTTCACAAAAGGAGGAGACGGCGTCCCAGTTCCTCTCACTCCGCACCATGGCCTCGACTAAGGCCGGGCGCGAGAGGTCGCCGCCGCCGATCACTTCCCTGAGGATACGGCGGTGCTCAGCCCAGGCAGGGCATACCGCTACCGTATGCTCCACCGTATCCTCTAGGTGGTCCTCACAATGACGACACTCGGGCGTTTCCTCTCGCTGAATCCGGAACAGGAACCTACCGAAGCTGCCGTGCCCGGTAAGCACCTGCGTCAGACGGAAGGTGAGGACGCCGTGGCGTCTCTCAAGCCACTCCTCAAAGAGGGGTCTTACCGCTGCTATGGTAGCGTGCCCGGCCCTCGGTTGCGACAGTCGCTGTCTCCACTCTGCCATGAGATCTCGCCGGAGCTCATTCCGCCACGCACTTATTTGGCGCGGCAAAGGATCTTCGCCCCGGCTACGCGCGTCTGCGCGCAAACTGTAGACGCGCGCGAGCGCCTTCGCTTCTAGATCCCACGGCGGTGATCCGGCAAGGAGGTTCGCCGCCTCCCCGGAGATCGTGCGATACCCGCGGATTACTCGTATAGCCATGACCCTCTGGGACGCGACCAGCGTACGAGCCGGCCGCCGCTTCAAGTCCGGCGCCCACACAGGGGCACCGTAGAGGGCCATGGATCGCACAATTCCCATATACAACCTCCGGCAGGAAGGAAGGAGCCGCTTGAGCGCGGCCCCAGACCGTTCCAACTTAGGGGCCAAACGACGAAAATGCTCCGTGAAGTTCCATCGGCTGTCGAGGACGAGACCCAGGTACTTCATCGCCGACTCGACGCCGATGGTAACTCCTCCTGCCGTTACTTGGGACCCACCTGGAGGTGGCGCGCTCCGACGGCCATAGAAGCACATGGCCTCGGACTTGTGGAGCGCCACCTCGAGTCCCAACTGCCGGATCCTTGCAACGACTGTCGCAACCGCTTGTGACATCAGGTCGGCCGCCGCCTGATGCGACCTCCCGTTCGCCAGCACCAGCGTGTCGTCAGCATAGCAGACAATGCTGACGCCGCTCGGGAGGTCGGTGCGTAGCACCCAATCGTACCCGATGTTCCACAGGAGAGGTCCCAGGACCGATCCCTGTGGGACACCGCGCGACACCTCTCGCCGATTCCACACGCCCCGGTGACCGGGGTAGATGACACATCTGTCCGTCAAGTAAGCCTCGACTACACGACGGAGATAGGCAGGCACCCGGTGGTACCGGAGTGCCTCCAAAATGCAGCTCCAGGGCAGCGAGTTAAAGGCGTTGGCGATGTCCAGAGACACCGCCACGACGACTCGCCTCCCGGCCAACGCTGTCCCCGTCGTGAGGTCCCTCACGCGCATGATGGCGTCCACCGTGGAGCGCCCTCTGCGGAAGCCGAACTGGCCGTCCGCTAAATCCGGCCCCCTTCCAGACAGGTGCCCGACGAGGCGGTCTGAGATTATCCTCTCGAACAGCTTTCCCACCTCGTCGAGCAGCACAATGGGCCGGTACGCGGACGGAGAGTCCGCAGGACGCCCCGGCTTCTTCACGAGGACCAGTTTACCCGTCTTCCACGACAGCGGAAACTGGCCTCTCTCCAAACATGATTCAATGAGTGTTGGGAATATAATGTTGAATATTTTGATTCTTAATTCTAATGTAATATAGCCGGTTTTAAAATAAAGGCTTTATAGACCTGAGTTAAGCCATTGTAATATAGAACTGATGTTAGAAAACGTTGTCTAAAGTGTTGTTTTGAATGAACCCTTAACTTCCCAATTTGATATGAAATGTAATATCCATATAATATGTTTACAAAAAGAATTTATTGATAATACAGATAAGGCAATGATTTAGCAATCCGAAACTAGAACGAATATCGTAATTAAAATTATAGTAAATAATAACAAACAAAACAATATAACAAAATAAACAAACCTTAAAAAATCACAAAAACAATATCACGAAAATTCGTTGCAAAAAATCACAAATAAACACTTAAAAAAATTGTTGTTTGAACAAAAAGTTGTAATGGAAAGAGATCGCGACCGTCATTGGCCGCCGGTTGGCCGTGACTGCGCGGGCGCACGCGATCGAGTTCCTTTGATACGCAGTGTTACGCTTGTACGTAATTGCTTATATCACTGGTTTCGCATTGATGCGTCGTTTGAGGACTTCTGAACTCATTAGGCTGGTTTTTGTCACAATGCGACGTGACGCAAATGGAAGAAATTATGTAGTTTGGACACTTTTTTTTGTTTGTTATAATGTACAATTATTGTATGTGCGCTTGTCCTGTATACTCGGTTAAAACCTATTCTTATACCACCATAGTTTGGCTATTGCGTTTTTTTTTCTTATTTTTTGTTTCTCAAATAACAAAGTTTAAGTTTAAAAATGCAGTTTTTACAATTCACTATTAGCTTAAATAGCAGTTGTCCAACCATCGATAGCTCTGTTACGAAATATAGGGTAACTTATGATAGTGCTGCAACTTAAGGAAGACTTGATTTGATTAATGATTCAAATTAAATTGCAATTACCTACGATAGTTTCAAAACTGTAAGTTGACAAACTCTTATAATAAACCTTCCTGGTTCTACATAATAATATAGGCTTGAGTCAATTAGTTTTTTTTGCAATATTTTATTATATCATAAACATTATTAAAATGGGTATTTTTTTATGGAAACATAGGCTAATGAGCTATGGATTACCTGCTGGTAAGTAAGTGATCAGAGCCGCTCGCCGTCTATGGTCACCCGCAACTCCACAGGAGTTAAGCGCGTTGACGGCTTTTTAAGAAGGAGTACGCTCGTTCCGTCATTCAAAAAGATCATTCCAAAGTTTTTTTTTGCGTTGTACGATCATCATTATCGTCATCATCAGCCTATAAATGCCCACTGCTGAGCTAAGGCCTCTTCTCATTCGGAGAAGGTTAGAGCATTAATCACCACACTTGCTCAATGCGGGTTGGCGATTTCAAACTTATAATTAGAAATTATAAGTCCAGGTTTCCTCACGATGTTTACCTTCACCGTATGTCAGTGATGTCTGAATAATCATAGAAAGTACATATAACTCGGAAAAAGTCACATTGGTACTTGCCAGGTTTCGAACCTACACCCTCATGCACGAGAAGCAGGCTTCTTAACCTCCGGGCCACCACGACCTTTTGATTCTGTACGATACGGAAGCTTATTTTGTACTTTTTTATGGAAAAAGTTTCATCAAAATCTAGTGTAATGACACCTTAACCTCATTGTTAGGACAAGACATTGTGTTTATGTAATGTAATTACTAAGTAAGTGCATACTGTTATATTGTGTTGTTACGTAATAAGCTTAGATATAACGATTAATGAACGCCTTAGACCTGTTTGCGTGTCTTATTCATTGTCCACGTGACAAAATCTGCTCAAAAATAGCAATATTTTATGAATAAGTGATGAATAGGTGGCATATGTATTCAAACTTACTTGTTCCGTTTAAAATTACTTTAGAAAGCTTAAATTTTTTTTATTAATAATTATTATTTTTATTAATAATATAATTTAAAATGCCTGATATGAAATTAAAAACATAAAATAATTTTAAAAATGGAAGACACTGCTCTAACGACATCTTTGATCTTGTTTGTAATAATGGCGATAATTATTTGAATATTTAATTTTTGTTTTAAACATCATCGCACTTTTTTGTTTTTTAAAAAATAGACTAGTATTTTATTAGTTCATGACAACAAGACAATATAGATTGCTTCCTTATTATCGTCTAAATTAGATTTAAAATTCTAATTTAGCTATATGTAGATATAAGTTTAGCCAAAACGAGATTTTTTGCAAAAAAAACATTTCTTCGAATTAAATTTAAAACAACGCAGTTTTTATTCTAGCGTTTCAAAAATAACGATAATGTGTCATGCTATGATAAAATTTTCTTAGTTTCTTAACTTTTGAGTTCTCTATTCATCGGGTACTAGTACATTGAGTAATTGGATTTACTTTAAAGGTCTCATCATCATCAGCCTATATGTGCCTACTGTTGACCAAAGGCCTCTTCTCATACGGAGAAGGTTAGAGCATTAATCACTACGCTTGGTTAATGCGGGTTGGCGATTTCAAACTTATAATATTCACCGTAAAGGCCTACTGGCAGGTTCACTTTAAAGGCCTACTCGTATATTAATTGGTTGTACCTTAACTTCCGTACTTTATATAATTTAAATGGTTTATTGAAAGTAACGACTTACACACGTGAATTAACTGAGAAAACCTCTATTAGTTTCAAGTCCTTGACCGATTGACAGTCAGATCGCCTGCGTGATTGTACTTAGTGCTTTTCTCAGTCATTTTTTTCAATAAATTTAGTATGTCTCACGATAGTTACTATTCAAAAAGCTATGGTTTATCCATAACTATTGTTTAAGGATCAATATCGTCACCAAGGAAAATTTTAAGTTATCAGAGAGTAAAGAGAAATCAAGCAAAAGGGTAGACTCGGTCGGAGCAATTCAACAGATGCACGGCAAAACCGGCATGAAAAAATCATAGCCTTACGTTGCGCCTCGTGATTAGTTTTGACGGAGGCCTTATTCTTCCGCCGTCTTCCGTCAGACATGTTCATAATCCAACGTTGTCGTACTTACCATTATGATCGCATAATCACATAAAGGCTCGTTTGTTGACTCACCTTTGTCTTAAAAAAAAAACAAAAAAATAAATAAATGTACATATAGGTATTTAAGTAAGTAGATACTGCGAGTGTTCATTAATTGCGATAGTAAGAGTTTCATTAACAGAAATATTAAGGTATTGTAATCTACAATACATTTCAAAAAGTAATTAGGGTTGAAGTCATTACATAAAAAAGTTTAGATTATTACAGGTTTTTTTTTCTTTTGCGTCATACGTGATAGTGTAACAAAAGAAATTATTCTCAAAATCATGTTTGTATGACGCCGTATCAAACGAAGAAAAAAGAAGTAAAGTATAAAAATACAAAAAAAAAATTGGTGCGATATTTTCTACTAATTTCTAATAAATGAAATATTTTAAAGCAATATTTCTTCGTAAAGACAAAAAAACGAAAAAACAAAATCCAACTATTTAGAGGAATTTATTAACGAACTAAAATACAACACCGCCATATGTTAGAGTATTTTTTAAATGTAGAACCTATATTTAAATGTAGAATTTTATTTTTTATAATGTTCCGGTAATCTAATATTTTGTGTGTTTTTGTATCGTTATGTAACTACATATTTGTTTAGGATATTTCGCAGAAAATTTCTCGCATGTGTAAAAGTATATTTTCAGTTTAACGTTAACTCATTTTTTGGCTTTGTTTCAATCAAAAGCGCAATATTTTTTGTTTTCACCATATTTAAATGGTATGGATTATAGAATTACGTAATGTTACCTACATGTTGGACTTAAAAATAATGGTAACTTAACTAAAATAGCAGGTTAGGTTGTGGGTTTAAATAGCTGAATTATTATGTGTGGTCAATTGGGCATTGGTCTGTCTCATTTGACTTTGACTTTAGCTGCATTGATATGTGTGACCAATTGGGCATTGGCCTGTCTCAGACGAGCGACGAGCATCTTCTGAGGCAAAAGCTTCTGGGTTTTAACTATTCGACCATTTCTTCATTGTTCCTTCACGGTGCTATGCAAGGTGACCGATGGATAGCAATGCAATGGTTCACCCGCTATAAAATATTACTCTTAACGTACCTACTCAGTGGAAACTGGACCTTACATTGTATATATTTGCACCTTCGTCTACCCCATTTGAGGACCTTTATGTATACAAAATACGCTTTTAAATTTTAACTCTATTTTGCATACAATAAGCACGAAAATTCAGTAAATCTATCAAGACTAAGTTTCAAGTGTATTCTCAGATACTCGGTCCATCTGGATTAGACTTGAAACGTACTCTACATAAGGCCAAAGGGGTCATTTATAAGGAGACCAACGGGGCTGTCTGCATATAAAGCTTAGCGGTCCACACGTCGCGTTCAGCGGGGACGGGGACCACATTGTAATAGATGACTTGATTCTTAAAGCTTCGTGTATACGGGTGATAATGCACTGGCATCTGGCGTTTATGATTTATAGTGTGTTTAGTAGGGTTATTGGTAGTAAGACTCGTGGTAATATTTGTAAGCAAGTAAAACAATTGAACGTGGCTAGTGCTGACTAGTCTATTCGCTAAAAAGGTCAAAAAAGTTCACCTCGATGACCCTGGGATCGTATCATCAGATCCTGATATCCTGACAACGGAGTTATCTAGAAAGAATTAACCATCTAACAAAACAAGAAATATTAAAATCGCTTTACAAACGACAAAGTTATGACATTCCTTCTCGAATTTGAGAAGTCGGTTAAAAATTATGTCGCTTTACAGTATTTTAGGACTCGGGTTCAAAACTGACCCCTTCTATAGTGGTCTAATGGCCAAAATGGCCGATGTTCAGCTGGATTGCGAAAGCGCAATAATGTATCGTGACCCCGGCCCTGATGAAGAACATGGTGGTATTTAGTCAGTTAAAGTCTACCATTCCCCTTTTATATCACGCAGGGCCGGAGAAGTGACGCGAGGAATTTTGCCCTCAAAAAACAAAAAAATATAAAATAATATATAGGACGAGTAGCCTCAGAATGATCAGTCAAAATTCAAATATAATAAAGTACATTTTTCTGCTGCATTTAACATCTTCTACTTTAGGCAGTCGTTTCAAGGTAATCGCATAATACAAATTACATATAATTTTATTTGCAATTTGCATCTCCATATCTAATTGGACGATGACAAAACGTAGGCATACTTGTTCAAAATGTTCCATTTTAGCTCACTATTTGTTATCTAAGTTACAGAGTTATGTTGATAGTTTTAATAAATAGGTTAAATTGTTTTATAGCTGTTTGCATCACACGAAAACGTATCTACACTTCTTTGTGTGATCCACAAGATTGTTGTTCCGGGTCTTGGTGTGACATTTTCTTTTCTTTTTTTTTAAACATTGCCTCACCCTACTATTTTTGGTGCATTTACACACATACAATTTCACATACACATCACACCCAAACCCGGCACAACAATTCT